ATAGGCAAACGTGATTCTGTAAGATAACCAGATAGAAGAGACAGTAGCAGTTGAAAGAGATGTGCCAGATGCCATTTGAATGTTGCACCCAGATTTGATGATATAGTTAAATATCTGTCAACCAGAGAGTAACTGAAATACAAATCAAACTCAAAAAAAGATTCACTAATGTTCTGGCTCCAGTAAAAATAATTTAAATTATCTAAGTATATAAATGATTAAATATTTAATGTTTAAAATGAACTTAAGGTACTGTAGTCACTGCTAGTGATCTGTGGCTCAGCTATGCAGGACTGGGACCAGAAAAAAAAAAAAAAGAAAAAGAAAAACACGATGGTCAAAAATGATGTTAATGAAAACACTATCGGTTTAGGAGATCAAAACTGATCAAATGGAGTATTATTTCGGTGACTTTAATTTGCCAATTTAAAAGAAACAGATCAAACTGGATGAAAGCTGAATACCTATGGAGATAATGGTAAAATTCAACAGGTTAAATTATCAAACATTTCAGTTTAACAGAAGCACCAAGCAACTCAAAGGCAGAAGTCATGAACTAAATGAAGATAAAACTAAAATCAAAAATCTCCAAACTTCTTTGATGAGAATAAAAGGTCTCGTGATGGCTGATGAGTATAAAAGTTATTTTAAAAAATGAAAGGCTTCAGGACTGATGCGACCCTTATGATACCCAAGAATGATTAGATAAAGGTCAAATACAGAATCAGCAGTTGGCATAATGACCACGTCACTGGACTTCCATGTAGTCGACCATGTTCAAGTCCCGGACCCAGTGGCTTAAACTCACTCCAGGAGCATGTGCATGCGTGCCCAAGATCCCAAGAGGAGAATGGGGGAGAAGGGATGGTGGCATGGCCATCCCCCTAGGGGGTGATTTCTCACTTTCTGTCACTCTCTCTCTGGTGAACAAATGCACTCTATAGGAAATACCTATGGAGATAATGGTAAAATTCAACAGGTTAAATTATCAAACATTTCAGTTTAACAGAAGCACCAAGCAACTCAAAGGCAGAAGTCATGAACTAAATGAAGATAAAACTAAAATCAAAAATCTCCAAACTTCTTTGATGAGAATAAAAGGTCTCGTGATGGCTGATGAGTATAAAAGTTATTTTAAAAAATGAAAGGCTTCAGGACTGATGCGACCCTTATGATACCCAAGAATGATTAGATAAAGGTCAAATACAGAATCAGCAGTTGGCATAATGACCACGTCACTGGACTTCCATGTAGTCGACCATGTTCAAGTCCCGGACCCAGTGGCTTAAACTCACTCCAGGAGCATGTGCATGCGTGCCCAAGATCCCAAGAGGAGAATGGGGGAGAAGGGATGGTGGCATGGCCATCCCCCTAGGGGGTGATTTCTCACTTTCTGTCACTCTCTCTCTGGTGAACAAATGCACTCTATAGGAAAAAAAAAAAACTCTTAAAAGAAAAAAAAGCCAAATACTAAAATATTGAAATGAGAAAAATACTGCATTGAAGAGATCAATATTTGCAATGTTTGATTGTATTGAATCAGCTAAACACTTTATGGAGACCCCTGGCTTTGACCCATGGTATAAAGACATGGATCTTCTATTACTTTGCAAAGAACGAACGAACGAACGAAAGAAAGAAGAAAAAAATAAAAATAAAGTGTAAGCTAAATTAAGAGCTTAAACAAGAGCAAGAAGAAAAATAGAAGTGCTGAAGATGCTGAAATGCAATCTCTAGATTGAATGTTTGCTTGCGGTGACTTAGGTGATCAGACCTGTAAGAAAAGATCCGCAAATTCTTTCTCATGTCACAGAGAAAATGAGTAGACTATCAGAGGAGCAAGTGAGAAAATAATTCTATCAATGGAAAAAGCTAAAGCACTAAATAAAGCCAAAGGAAGCTAGTAACACTAACCTACAATTAAGGAACAAAAAAAGAAAAGTGGCAAGTACAAAGAGGTAGAAAAAAGGAAAGAGAAAAAAAAAAAAAAAAAAAACGAAAACTCACAGAGAATCAACAAGAACTCCTAAACAAATGAGAATCAAAAAAGTCAGATTCAGGCCAGCCCTACAGTGTAGTGAGTAAGGAAGCCAAATCCCACTCCAACAACCATTATCCAAATTCCAGCCCTGGCAGCTTGAAAAATATGCTGGGCATGTATGTATGCATGTCCAAAATCCCAACAGGATGGAGAAATGGAGGGATTGCAGCATGACCACACCCCACTGGGGAGTACTTTATCCCATTTCCTCTCTCTCTGGCAAGCACAAGTACTCTCTAGCTACTAAAAAAAAAGATAATTCATTCCACTATTAATGGACACTTGAGTCACTTCAATTTGAGGCTCTTCTGAACAATACACTATAAACATTCATGTACATGTGCTAGAATTTCTCTGAAGTACCCTCCAAGGGTAGAAGCGCTGGATCTTCTTCCCAAGTTAAAATACCCATGTATTCATGTACCAACTGTGTGTGAGGTGGAAATTCACTCTTCAAAATTTCACTATAACAGTAAAAATCCTACTTGGAGAACACACAGTAGAAGCTAAGTGTACTCTGAGCAAAAGGTCTCCCAAAAAGGCATTTGAGAATTGGACCAGAGGTATGTACATACCCCAGCTGATCTGTAGAGGCCTGCTCTCTATGCCACATTGCCAAAAAGCAGATTATCATACCACAGGCCAAACAAATATACAATGTTAGAAACTGAAATTTTTAAGGTTGATAAACTGTTTCTAATTTCAGTTATTTGGGTAGTTAGCAAAGAAATTATACACCAATAAAGAAAAACTGATAATGGAATCCAAACCAAATTCTTCAGAAGACTGAAATACAAGGTAATAATGCCACCTACTCCACCAATCTAAAGCGAACGTAAAAGAATGTTGCAACCAGGGCCAGCAGATGGTCTGTTATGTCACTGCACTCCTACTTAGCCAACAACGGTTCGAGTTCAGGACTCGCTTGAAAAAGCACAGCAGACACGTATACGTGTGTATCCAAGATCCTGGAAGGAGAATAGAGAAGGAAATGCAGCGTGGCTATTCCCCCTGGGGGGTGATTTCTCACTTTCCTTCTGTCTGTCTCTCTCTCCAGAGAGCACACGTGCCCTAAGGCAAAGGCCTCTTAAAAAGTAAACAAAAAGATGTAGTAATGGAGACTGGCAGGTAGTGTAGTTGAAGTGCTGGACACCCACATCACCAATCACGGTTCAAGTCCTAGACCTGGCAGCTTGAGAATCATGCCAGGTACATGTGAACAAAATCCTGAGAAGAGAATGGAGGGGAAAGGATTGTGGCACAGCCAATCCCCTTGGGGGAGGCAGTGATTTTTCACTTTCCCTTTGTCTCTGAAAAGCACACACACACTATAGCAAAAAACCTTAAAAAAAAAAAAAGTAGCAACCAATAAAATTCAACACACCTCAGAAAACAAAGCAAAACATGAACTTTTAGGAGAAAAATCTAAGAGAATACTTTTGTGATTTCAGGAAAGAGATGGATTTCTCACATCATAAAACAGCTTAAACTATAAGATAGAAAATTGAAAATTTTAATTACATTAAAATTTAAACTTATGCCCAGAAAGATACCACTGTAAAAATAAATCACATATTTGCCAATACAAATATCAAAAGATAATTATCAAGACCATATTTTTTTTTCGGGGGCGGGGGGAGAGGTTTTTGCTATAGGACACGTGCACTCGCCAGGAAGAGAGAGAGAGACAGAGAGACAAAGTGAGAAATCATCCCCCGGGGGGATGGCCATGCCGCAATCCCTTCTCCTCCATTCTCCTCTCAGTATTTTGGGCACGCACGCACACGTGCCTGGCATGAGTTTAAGCCACCGGGTCTGGGACCCGAACTACGGTTGGCTACATGGGAGTCCAGAGACATAGCCATTATGCTAATTGCTGGAGGGGGTGGCCAGCAGGTGGCATGGTGGATAAGTGCACTGGACTCCCACATGGTCAACACTGGTTCAAGTCCTGGACCTGGTGGTTTGTTTTCCTCACTTTCCTTCTCTCTGTCTCTGTTTCTCTCTGGTCAAATTAAAATAATAATAATGATGATAAAATAATTCTATTCATTCATATATGTGTGTATATACATGAAGCTATGGGAAAGAGGTCCAACAAATGCTCATTTTATTGCTCTGCTCCTCCTGGCCTTTAAATCCTCTTAACCTGGCAATATTTGGGGGGATATCGATGCCTTGAATAGGTTCATGTACCTACTACCACAACTCTGAAGACACTGAACAGTAACAGCACGCAGGATCCATCATGTCACCCATTTATAACCGCATCCACCTCCACCCCACCCCACCCCCCGGCCACCACTAGTCTATCATCCAGTTATTCTTTAAATTGTTATGCCTCTCCCTATTAGGGCAGAACCACACACACGCAGCCCTCTCTCATTATTTCCTGTGACTGCCCGTCAGCTCCACATCACTCCAGTGAAAATAAATCTTAGACAACAGCTGATCATGGAAGAAATCGATTTTTCACTTTATTGATAGAGATGCATATCCAAAAACAAAAAAGAAAAATTATGATAATGTTCAAGTGCATATGGCTCTAATATGCACATATCCACTAATATACATATTCCAGGCCATAAAAGGAAAAAATTAAGTACTCTAAAAGCTTTGTATAGTTTCATAGTAACATTAAGAACAAATTCTTCTAAAAATCAAAGAAAACACTTTTTTTCTCAGAAAACCAAATTTAGAGTGAAATACTTCAGCATTTTCCACTTACATAAAGCCTTTTATCCATCAGACTTCGATCATTCTACATAATTAGCACATAGAAACTCTGACTTAGATCAACTTTTTTCCCCTTCAAGCCATTCGAAATATTGTCCTGTACTTGAATTTAAAACCCAAAGAAAAGGGTGAATTGCATATTATAAAAATGCGATTTAAATATGACATTTATTTATTCAACTTTCATAGCACTAAACAGTATACGTGCGATGGGAATTCATACCTGCAGAGCTGAGGAGGACACTGAAATCTGTCCCCCGCTGTGATTCTCCACTTTCATTATTGACTTCCTTTTCAATATCTTGATATCGATCCCAGTTAGAGACGATCTTTCTTTTAGAATAAATTCCCTGTTCATCATTCTCTTCTCCAAAGGTCTCTGCATCGCTGTCTTCTTCAACCTGTAATCATTAGACACAAATCAATAAACAGGCAGGGGAAATCTTGACCTTAGTCACCTTCACAGTAAGAGAAAACAGCAACAAAGCAATAGTACACAGGTATCAGAATAAAGAGCAAATTTTTAGATTAAACTGTCTGAGGCTATTAATTTTAAAAGAACCCTGTTCTACCAGAATGCTCTTTTCACTGAAGGGAGTAAACTTTACAGTGAGTATTAAAAAGGAATCTGGCACATTCCTGCCTAAACATTTATGTAACCAATATCTCCAAAAATCTATCATTGTGGATCCTATTACAATGACTGCTTCATCTAGTTAAAATAATCAAGGCTATAAGAGTCTTAAATTCAAAGGGCTTCAGGATGAAAATCAAATCTCCCTTTAACTATATTTCATAAAGCTTTAAAAGGGAACCCTGCTCAAATGCATTCTAGAGAACAGTTTCCAGTCTTGGGCATTAAAAGGTTAAAAGAACATGCAAAAGGAGAGACTGTGAGGAATTCTAGAAAATAAGTTGCAAGAGAAAAAAATAGGAGGGAGGTGGGGAGGAGAGAGAAACATGGACACATAACCCATAATGCAGGGAACTTGTTCATGTCCTAGCTTGAATAACCTAAGCAGAGAAAAGAGGACAGCAGCAGGAAAATGTACAATGACTGGATATCTGTATTACAGAAATCCTGTTCATTTTACTTATTATGTTTGGTGTTATACTGGCATTGTGATTTTTTTTTAACATTCTAACCTTTTAAATATTAACACTGATACAAATTAGATGAAGATATATGACGAGATTTGCTTCAAAACAGTGGGCGAAGAGAAACAGTGGGTAGAAATAAACCATGTGTAATTGACCATTGCCAAATATGGATGATGCCTACATAGAAATTCATCTTATTATTCTACCTACTTTTGCATATATTTGAAATTATCTATAAAAAAATTATTTTTTTTAAAAAAGAGATTCATGTAGAATCTAAAGACAGAGTTCAAAGATAGGTCCCACAGGTTTTAAATTCTTATCAAGGAAAAAAACCAAACTATTAAAATGACACATCTATACAGGATGGATGATTATAGCTTTAAAAAAAAAAAAAGATTTACTAAAAAGAAGCAGGACATGTGCTTTGCAGAAAACAAGCAAAAGGTCTGTAACCCCATCACCCAGAAATACCACTAACACCACAGTGTAAATACTTTCAGGTCTTTTTCTATGTATATTTATACTTTTTTTTTCTGGTAACCAGATTTTTTTTTTAATCTATTCATTTCTTCCATGAGCAAGAGAGACAGAAACAGGTAGGTACCCCAACAGGGTCTTGACACCACAATGCACCCCCAGCCTCAGTCAGCCCAAGGATCCTGGGCACACGTGTGCCCAACCTACTCAGGGAGGTCTCCGAGTATGAACTCGGAACCCTTCCATGGGGGTTAGTCTTACAAAGCCAAATATTTTACTGCTGCAGCCCATCTGGCAGACTGGCTTTTGTTTTAAAGTCAAAGGTTGCCAGAGAGGGGATGGGCAGGGGAGCGCCCCGTGGAGAGCAGCCACACAGCAATCCCCTCTCCATTTCTCCATCCTGTTGGAATCTGGCGCATGCATGTACATACACCCTTCACGTTTTTCAAGCCACCAGGCCAGGACTTACAGTGTCAGCCATGTGGAATCCAGCATGGTTGTAGGCTATTAGGTGGTCCCCTTCCAGTTTTTGGTTTTTTTCCTTAAATCAATAGTCTCTGCCTCCCCCATTTAATAAATTTTGCTTCAACTACCAGCCAAATATTTCCAAATTTCTCTAATCCAAAATAAATCCTTTTCAACTGGTTTTTCCAAGCCAGTATCCAATTCAGGACTATCCATTATATTTGATTACTGGTCCCTTACATCTCTTTGAATCTAGCAAAGATTTTACAACATTGATTTACTGACGGGCCAGGCCAGGCATAATGCAGAAGAACCCATCTTCTGACTGGCTGCTTCCTTTTGGTACCACTTACAGACTTAAATTTTTATCTCCAGTATTACCTATAAACTACTCTAAGATTTCTAAATGCTCAGTGGAATCAAATGGTTTTTCTGTTTTGTTTTAGCTAAGATACATCATAAATAGTGCTCTGAACCTTAAGTCACATCACATCAAATGAGAGCAAATGACAGAGATTTGGGTGATGAAGGTCTGAACCACTCAGACGGTCTGTTCCCTCTCATCCAGGGAATTACCCGCTGCTCTTGTCCACTGGTCTAGTCCCCACCCACTAGTTACCTAACAAATTTAACACTAGTCAGTAATTCTTGCCTGAATCAAATTTCATAAGCATTCATGAAATGGACTAATCGACTTTTCAAGATCACTTTTAGATCGCAATATCATAAGCCTCCTCATTAAAACAAAAAGAGGACAGTCAATATTCTCTCTTTTTTTTTTAAAGGGATTTTCTATAGGGCGCATGTGCTTGCCAGAGACAGACAGCAAGAGGGAAAGTGAGAAATTACCGAGAGTGGGGGGTGGCCACACTGCAATCCCTTCTCCTCACGGGATCTTGGGCATGCACACAGACACAAACAGCGTGATTTTCCAGCTCCCTGGTCTGGGACTCGAACCACGGTCACAACCAGCCAGATTGGAGTCCAGTACCCAACCACTGCAGCTGCTGGCCCCAAAGCCTACATTATAGTCCAAAGATTGAAAAGACTGCCTGAAACCTAGAGGTTTCCTGCCATTCCTACAAGTTTCTCAGAACCAAAAGATGATGGCAAATTAATGGTATATGATGCTGCTACATAAACAAATGCCAGGAACATTCTTTTAAAAAAGAGAAAAAGGGCCAGCAGGTGGCGTGGTGGTTAAAGGCACGGGATTCCCACATGGCCAACTGCAGTTAAGAGTCCTGGATCTAGTGGCTTGCTCTCTTGCTTTCCCTTTCTCTGTCTCTACCTAGTCAAATTTTAAAAAATAACAAATGGAATAATATTTTTTAAAAAAGAAAAAAAGGGTTTGTAACCAATGAGAACTTGGGGGCTAGAACTAGAGCTGGAAATATTAATATTAAGGAGTTTAATCTGGGAAAATCCAATATTCTTTTGCTGTCCCACTGGGTAAAGAGTTCAGAGAGGTTTTTCTAGTGAGTACAAAACCTCTGAACATGGCTATAATACATGGCATAAATGTAAGTGTAGGAAAAAATTATCTTGATGTGAAAGATTATCTGAAACATCTGAGGAACTTTTAATGTCTGTCCTCAAACAAGCACTGAATGGAAGGCAGGAGACCCAGTTAGAATTAAGGGCCCTGGCATATTTACCAAATGTTTATAAACAGGCTACCTGTACAGATAAAGGACTCATTCCAAAATTTGAAAAATCACTTAACAAGGATTTCATTACTCCTTATCCAAAAAGAGTTGTCATTAGATGATCACAGGACGGTAGTGAAAAGTTATAAAGTAAAGACGACATTTGATGTAACTTATAGCTGCATCTTGGGCTGGCTCCATGGCCTAGTGGTTAAAACAATCAGATCCCACATAGACAACCACACAGTTCAAGTCCCCAACCTACAGCTTGAGACCCACAAAGGGCATATGTGCCTGAAATCTCTAAAGGAGAAAGAGACGGAGAAGGGATTGCGGTGACTATGCCCTGTTTTGGGGTGCTTTCTCCTCTCTCTCTCTCTCCCCCCTCCCCCTCTTCCCTCCCCTTCTTTCTGGCAAGCATACTGGAACAAAATAAAAATACAAGGGGACTTAAAAGGTTTGTGAAAATGCCAGGCACATGTGCACATGACCAAGATCTTGAGGAACTGGAGGGCTGGGGAAAGAGGCTTGTAGCATAATGAGACCATTTGAGGGGATCTCTTTCTCACATTCGCTATCATGAATGAAATTAATTTTAACTTTTTAAAAATCCATGGAAAAGTGGTATTCATGTATGAGTTTAATTTGGTACAAAAATGACTTTGAAATTCATGCAATTTTCATAACACACATTTCCATGAAGTTTTTGAAGACTCCATGTATGCAAAGCTTCAAGGTAAAGAAAAAAACAGAATACCAGTGAAAACTGTAAATATAAAAATATCATTTTAATGTTAACATTATAAAATTAGCCTAGTAATTTTCACTGTAGCATTCTCACATCAGGGCATTCTCATATCTGATCTTTATAGTGTTCACAGAGTAACAGGAACCTAGTTGGGTTAACAAACTAAAGATCTATTATATAATCAAATTACTACTAAGCTATTATGTGGTCCAATGGCACAAAAACAAAATCCATGTTAGAAAATTCGGGCCCAACAGGGGCCAGCAAGTAGCATGGTGATTAAGGTCTAGACTCCAACATGGCCAACAGCAGTTCGAGTCCCAGACCTAGGACCTTGCTTTTTCACTTTCCCTCTCTCTGTGTCTCTGGCCAAATTAATAAGTAAAATTAAATTAGTAATTATTTTTATTGTTTTATACATTTAATCAGATTACTTAGCTTGTGAAGTTAATTTACCCAACATGAATATACCTCACACCAGTCCAGTTGAGGATATTATACATGTTATCATCAGCAGACAACAATCCACTTCTGTGTCCCATAAATATCTTGCCTACTTTTCTTTAATATCTTTCCTTAGTCGTCCTTCAACCCTCTTTTAAAAGAAAAAATCCATATTTCTACCAACAGCCTCTTCAAGGCAATGTAGTCTTCTTGTAGGATGTTCCTCAAAATTCTTCTAGCCTCTACCCATTACACAATTCCAAAGCTGCATCCACGTTTTTAAGTATTTGTTAGAGAGATATGTTAGATTACTCCTTTCTGCCTGTGGACGCCGCCAGGGAAGCATCGTTGAACTCTCTCTTCTCACTGCTGTCATGTCTAAGTCCGAGTCTCCCAAAGAGCCGGAACAGCTGTGGAAACTCTTTATTGGAGGGTTGAGCTTTGAAACAACCGATGAGAGCCTGAGGAGCCATTTTGAGCAATGGGGAACGCTCACAGGCTGCGTGGTAATGTG